TGGTCTTAAGACCGGTCTTAAGACCAAGACCAACTTCGAGTACCACAACACTGATTTGTACCAAATAAAACATTTCTTTTTTTTTTTTTTTTTGCCTTGTATTTTACTGCCCCAGCTGTTAAGCATTTTATTTATAGCTCTGACTTGAGACTTGAGCAGGTTCAGGCAAGTAGCAAGGTTCTGGCTGGAATTGTTGTGAAATACCACTTTACAGATTTCCTCTGTTTTTGTCAAAGTTAAATGTCATTGCATAACTTTGCACACCAGGCAAAGATAACTCAAGTAAACAGTTTTCAAATGACTATTTCATTTTTAAGGGAGAAAAGCTGTCCAAAACGACCTGTTCCCTTAAGAAAACATCATTTTTCTCCTTGTCAAGTCATGAATTAACTGTATAAACGGTTCAGTTTCACAAGGCCAGCTTACTGACGCATCCATAAAATCAAAAATATCACTAAGATATATGATCATAAAAAAACCCAAGTCCAATAAAATAAAAAATAAAACAGAAAATACATGAGAAATGTCATTGGTGAAGTGGTTGTTTCTCGGGATGATTAATCCAATAAATCTCAATGAGTTGTTATCTACAAATCAGAAACACTGATATTGGTTGGCTCAGACCAATTGTTTTTCCATATTTTCTCACGTTTTCTGGCTCTGATATTATCTTGTTTCATAGTGACATTTTTAAACATGACCAACTTACAAAGACAGAAACAATCTGTGGGGGCAAATATCATTTCCCAGCACTGACAGACAAACATCTGCCTTAAATGGTATGTCCTATTTTGAAGAAGTGCCAAGAGAAATTGGTTTCCGGGTCAAGTTGCTTCTCAAACAGGAAATAGTTGATAAAAAGTTAAGTTGCATTCATTTTACAGCAAGTGGTTTTGTTGGAAACAGTCGTTTCTCGAGGGGCTTTTCCCCCCTGCTGAATAACAACACCCAGGGCGGATAGTTTTTAGAACGTTTCTATGTGGAACTATACTACTTTAATTAAAAATAAAATATTATTCAAACTGCACATTGGTACGGGTCAGTCTGTTTGTTCTGTTAGCTCCAGGAACAGAGAACAGCTGCAGGGATTTTAGCTAAATTCCTGCTCAGACATGAAAAACAGAACGTGTGTATGTGTAATCTCTCAGTGGCGGCACTCGAATGCGTATCTGTCCTCACTGTTTTCTCACTCTCCCACTTGAAGATACATTTTTGTGTGTGTGTGTGTGTGTGTGTGTGTGTGTGTGTGTGTGTGTGTGTGTGTGTGTGTGTGTGTGTGTGTGTGTGTGCGTGTGTGTGTGTGTGTGTGTGTTACTCCTGAAAAAAAAAAGAAAGATAACAAGAATCCAGGATGTTACTTCACTGTTACTTTCAAGCAGCTGTGGGTGTGGTGTTTGTGTTTCTGGAAGAGACCGAACGTCGGAGCTCCTGCAGTTCTCTTTCACCTCTGATCACACGTTTCCCACTCCGCCTCTCCATCTGCTCACCTCTAAACTCTCCCTTAGCTTCCATCTGTTTAAAGTCACCTTCCTGCATCCCAGTGGCCTCGCTCTCCCACCCTCAACTCCTTTCATGCTCTTCATAGCCGACAAGCACCTGTGGCAAAGTCAGCTCGCCCTTTTTACTCATTTCCTCCTACGAAAACACACACAGAAATCACATCACCTGCAAATACCAAATCCCCAGAATGAAGACGTCACACGCAGCACACAGCATCAATTACAATCAGCTCGGTCTTTCTGCAGACTCGCTGACACTCGGCAGCAGCAGCTTGTCAGACGCGCTCAGCTCCAGGGAGCAGGTTGAGGCTGAAACATTTGTTCGGGTGAAACAAAGCAGACTTTTTTTTTTTTTTTTAATAGCTGGATCATAATCAGGATCCAACATTTATGATGACGAATAGTCCACAGTTTTTTGTGGATCACCACAACAGCTGTGCAAAAACTCCTGACATCAAAACGACATGAATTAGTTGTTCCTTTCTTCTTTTATTTGAGAGAACTACATCCTAATTTTCTTGGAATCAATTTTTTGCTCCAGCCAAAATTAAAAATAGAAACAGAAGCTGATGTAAGAGCTCGACCCGGAGCTCAAACGCACTCAAAGCAAATGTGTACCAAAGAAAAAACCTCCACATCAATAAAGGCAGACTGATGCCCGTGACATCTTCACTGAAGGGAAAATAAAAGCTTTAGACGTACAAAAATGCGACCTGGCTGAGGTCACCAGTACGCCAACTCAGTTTAATTTAATTTACTCAAGAAAAACTACATTCGTTCTTCTGCTTTTGCTGCTTTAGCCTTCAGTGTCTTTAATCCAGAAGGGAGATGAGACACATTCATACAAGTCTTTATTTATCTTTATTTAGGAAGCAACATTACACTGTTTCCCTTGATTGACATGTGAAGGGTGGATTCTTTTGCTTGACAAAAAAAGATGTTTCTAATGTTGAATGGATGGGTGTCAGGTTTGTGCCAACTCTCACACACACACACACACGCACACACATGCACACACATGAAAGAATGGAGTAAACAGTTTTGCTACAAAATTCATCTAAGCAGGACATCGGGATAAACTTTGTGGGAAGTAAACCAGTGTGAAGGAGACTTATTGCAAGACTTTCAGTTGGAAACACTTTTTTGGCTCCAGATTATGAAACAATGGCATTCTTGGATTAAAGGGAAGCGATAACCCAGAGATGAGAGACAGAGACACGGCACAGTTCATGTCATGGGTCACTACAGCATGAAGCAGTCAGAAGTGACTGCAGCTGCTTGAGAATATAAAATTTATGTTCGGTTTTCTTTTACAGTACGTTTAACTCTCTGTGTTTCCTCTTTTAGTAGAAGAAAGTTGACGATTTCTGCTGATTGTGCTAAATCACTAATCAACTTCTCCAGTTCAGGCTCTCGTGTGTTTAAATGTGCAGCTCAACTCTTATTTTTTTTTCCTTTTTTATTTTTAATTTTTGAGTTGAAACCAAATGAAGGTTTGCATTTTTGATGCTTTTTCTTTCACACATTTTAGAAATTTCTCAATTTCAGTCGTAGAAATTGAAAATACCTACAGAGACACAACTGTAAAAAGAAAGAAAGAAAAAAAAAACAATAAACAAGTTCCAGTTAAGTTTACAGCTAGAAACCAAAATGAAAGACTTGCAGTGACTGATGTGACTGATGTGTTTGTACCCAAATCTGCATCCTCGAAGAAGAGCTGGGGGTGAAAGGTCAGATGGAGTTCAACAACAACAACAAAAAAAATCAACAGGTGTATTTTTAAGAAAGAAAAATATTTGTACGCTGCATCACTGGTCAGTCTGGTATTAAAACATTGAAAAAACTTATCTTTATTCCAATTTATCATACTAAAGTAGAAAAAAGGGGGGAAAATAACTAAACTAAAGGAGGAAAAAGGAGGGAGGTGAAATGTCTGAAGGTGAGGGGACTGAGAATGAGACAGGAGGCTTGAAGAGGCAAAGTGCAAAATGTATTTGCTTCCAAGAGTAAAAGAGATCAAGGAGAAGGTAAGAGAGCGGAAACGGGCTTAGACCTGAACAAATACCTTATTTCCAGGCAGATTGGCTTTTCCAGAATATAGTTAAAGCAGATATACAGTGTTCGCCTAAGCAGGTGCAAAATGAATATATCTCACTGCATGCTGACAGCTTGGAAAATACACAAACCTACATGCGTTACTGTGTCTGTGAAAACCACTGCGTCAAATGCTGGGAATACGACAGACGTATAGAATCTGGTTTAATGCAAACGTTTTCATCCACTCTATTTCCAAAAAAAAACAAAAAAAAACTGGATTTCATGGATATTTTAAGCAGGCAGGATTACATTAAGATATGAAACACGGTCCCCTCTCCTCCGAGCCCGGACCGGGTCCGCATTAGTTTCCTCCACCTTCACCCTTCACAAACACAGAGGCAGACAGCTTGGAGAAACGCTCTGCATGAGGAATACCAAGGAAGCAGCTCCTGACGCCCCCCAGGTTGTGTGGAAATGTCACCGCTCTCCGCATCACAGGTGATATATTTGGAAAGGTGTAGGCAGCGCGCTTATATTAAACATTTACCTCCACGCAGACAAACTAAGCCTTCGACTCTCACTCTGCCGGTGGAAGCTAAATGGAAAATCAAAACCGGTTCGATGGAGGTGATGGGGGCGAGGGGATGGATTCGGTGACAGCCCGGTCCCACCACCCAACAGTGACTGACGGTACTGTTAAGAAAATAAATTTAAAGGATGCTAGTTTTAAAACTTAACATGTCTTGATTGAAATAGCCTAACTGTAGTTTTAAAAATCAGTAACTTATTCTGGCCTGTTGACCTTTATGTTACCTGTAGTTCCAGCAGATGGTTTGCTAAGATCGTTTGAACTGCCATTTATCTGTGTGGGAAAACAATACAGTAGAAGTTCCAGCTTTTCACACTCATCTGTGAAAAGCTGTAAAACAGCAGGAGTTCCTGGCTTTAGAGAGAGGGTCAGAGATAGCTCCTGGTTGGATGAGCAAAGATACGCTTGATTTGAATAAATTAAAGATAAGAATACGCCTTCACTATAAAACTTCCTACACAGTAGTAACAAATTAGATTTGCTCTTGCAATTCTCCAAAGACGTCTTTGGACGTCTTTGCTTTTCTTTCTTTCTTTCCTTCTTCCTCTTTCCGTTTGTCTCAGGTAAATGAATGTCTGTTTTAATGTGTTTGAAGTGTCTGTGTTGTCAATGTGACTTTATACTTTTAAATGTTAGAATAAACTCTGAAAATGTATGCTGGGGAGCGCTGACTGTCATCTCTGTGTGGCTTTTGTTTCCACGCATGGAATCATTGAATCCGGGAGCACAAGAGAATATAACGAGCCAGAAGATAATGATTTTATTCTCTTAGCAGTACTCACGTCGGTGAATCCAGGCAGCAGATGGAAGGGGAGGAGGGCCTTGGGGTCGGGGGAGGGCTGGGTCCTGCCCAGCGTGGGACGAGCCAGCGACGGCAGGGGACTGTGGCACACATTACCTGAGACACAGAAGGGAAGCAGTAAGGATTAAGTGATCCGTTTTAAATGAAGACAACGGAGAGAGCTAAGTGGGAAGAGAAAAGAGACGGGCAGATGGGCTTGAAAAGGCTGAACTTTAAGCTTTACGTTTTAGTGTTTTTGTCCATTTATGCACAATCCGCAAACCATATTTGCTCTACCTACGCAGTCCTCCAAGGCAGTTTATATCTAAAGTCTTATTACTTTTGTAAAAGTAGTTTTTAGTGACCGAAGTTTCTTTACGGCGTTGAGGTCTTAGAACAAGGAATATATATCTTCTGGTCACATCATGTGAGATAATAGATCAAATAAGATACCTTGATTTTCGTTATCGCAACATTATTTAGGTGCAGCTTAGCAGGGTATGGACGAAATCCTTAAAAGTAATACAAACTAAAAAGTAAACAACTGAATATGAAAATAATATTTACACATTTAATGATAAAACAATGTCGCATGACAGCAGTCCTTTTTTGTCGCCTTTACATTTAAAAAACGGAGCTCAGTTTTGCCGTATCTGGTAAGAATTACTGGGACACACAAAGGAGGCTCTGAACAGCTAAATGCTACAGCTGCAATTTGCAGATTCCTACATTATCAAGAAAAGGTGCGGCTGTGTCTGGGCAGTCCCCCTAAACTAAACCAAATTTAACAAACATGTTTTGAAGGATGGCTAACGTACCTAAAACTGAATCGTCCTGTTTTTATTTGTGTAAAGTTTAGTTTTAGTCCCTGCCTCATCTGGTTTTAATTTGCTTTTAATATTTAAGATGTACAGATGCATTTTGTCATATTAAGTCTTGACCATTGGTTCGACTTTAACTGGGTTGTTTCCTACCTAGCCCTGCATGCTGTGATATTGAAAACCTGCTACGTAGCTAAAAATGCAAAGCAAAGAAATAAGATGGGATTTTGTCTGTCAGGTCTTGAAAGCATGTCCGTCCTGTTCTGAATAGTGCATGTCTACCGGTATCAAAGGTTCTCACTTTTCTGGGGAATCAGAATTAGGTACGTTACTTTTGCTTTGACATTTTGTGGTACTTATTTGTATATTTATGTTCATATCAGCCAACCCTCTGGGAATGAAACTGACATTTTACATGAGTTTCCTCTAGGAAGTAGAGACGTACTATCCAAAGCTTTTCATCCCATGAGTCTTGAGATGTCAGGTTAAATTTGGGTAAGGCTGTACTGAAACATTTTTTCCTCTGGTGTCACGTTGTCCTACACAGTTAAAACTAAAAGCAGATGCACAACAGTGTGACAAGGTATTAGTGTGATTTATGTAACCTTCATTCAATCTGCAAACACAGACACACACACACACACACACACACACACACAAAGAAATATGTTATTATCTGGTTTTTATTGGCTTTAAAATCACCCTAGGTTGCATCGTGCATGGAAATGACAACATACATATGGGTAAAACCCGACGCGGATTATTCCACACTGATTACCAATTCTTTAAAGACACGGGTCTGAACCGTGAAAGCATTATTTTATTTGCAGCAACAAAAATCTGGGCATGAGATGCAGAGGGAGGAGCTCACCAAAGGTAAGGTTCATCCAAGAAATGTCACTGATTTATAGCTTATACTCAGCAGACTACATTTTAATTCAACACCGACTATTTTGGAACAGGTTTGTCATTTCTTCCATTAGAGTACATTCAGTCATTTCTTCTCTCTTTTTTTTTTTCCTTTTTTTTTATTCAAAGGCATAGTTATTAAAGTCTTATCAAAATAATTCTCTGGCACAGGCAAGTAGTTAGATAACCAACCCTATCATCAAACAAAGTATTTGATGAAAATCTCAGAAGGTTTGTAGATACACACACACACACACACACACACACACACACACACACACAGAACCAGTCCAGAGGGTCCAGCGTGATAAGCGTCCTGTTTGTGTTCCTGATTGTCCAGCCTCCAGTTTACATGTTCTCCCAGCTTGATTGCAGCTTGAATCAGGACCAGGGTGCAAGTTTAATCATCGTCATCATCATCATCATCAAAATCAGCCAACACACCCATCCGCTCTGCCATTACTCTGATTGCCTTTGGCTGACGGCGCGCATGTGTATGCATGTAGCATTGTGTGTGCTCGGGGATTTTACTTTACAGAGTAGAAACGAGGTTGTGAAATGCACAAACATGGACAGGAGACGACAGAATCCAGATCACACGCTCATTATGTTCATTCAGAATGAGCCAACCAAAAAATAAGAATAAAAAAAATGTTAGTTTATAGATTTCCACACGTTTTGTCACGATTCAACCAACTTGTAAAATCCTGCTGAGGACATTAACAAGAACGTTGTGGCTCTATGTTTTCTGAATTACATTTCTTCCTACCAATTTCTACTGTTGCGTCGTAAATTTCTGCGTGTTGCACTTAAAGTGGAACATAAAGACCGAACTGACATTTGTAAATGATGAGCACCACATCTGATTGAGTATTTCTGCAGATAACTGACAGCAGATCTAAAGATGCATGCAACAAGTGAGTCTGCTGTGATTTCATAAACATAAAAAATTAAAAAATAACAACCCCCCCTCCCTCCCACCCAACCCTGAGAGTAAAAGCTTAATGCTGCGTATACATACCAAAATACATGCCGGCACCGAAATGAAGTCCCACAGCTCAGTGTGTGATTAAAGACTTTTTCATCTCCGGGCAGAAATGAGGCTCCTCGTCCTCTCCTCCGGTCTCTGTGTCTCACTGCAGCGGAGCCGCGGGCTGCTCCTTCCCATGTGGATTTCCTCCTCCTCCTCCTCCTCCTCCTTCTTCTCCTCCTCCTTCTTCTCCTCCTCCTCCTCATAACTGCCCACTGCTACTCCTCCTCCTCCTTATCATCACTGTGTCTTCACGATCCCTGTACAAATCTTCTGTATCTTTATCTCCTACAGATTTGCTCTGGGTTTAGTCACAATCATGTCTAATTACTGTAGCTGTGAGTCGGTTCCCTCAGTGAGCTCACGCACACACACACACCCCAAAACAAAAAGTGTGATTGTGTCCCTTTCTTTTACAGAGTTTAAAAAAGCTGACATCACAAGTTTATATTTATAAAACAATAAAGTATAACGGTCCAAGTTGGCTTTTAATGAAGTTGTCTTCATCACATCTCACATCAAATCCCTCTGCAGAGTCAAAAGGACTCCAAGACATTATATGTACTATGGGACAGAGTTTAGCGAGACAGTTATTGTCATACCCAGACTGAAGCATGGTGGAAGAGGCATCATGCTTGGGGACTGTTTTTTCTTCAGCTGGAAATGGGCGTTTAAACAAATTCAAATATCAGTCAGTCCTGTCAGCTTTTGTCGGCTTCTGCTGAAAATCCGACAAATGCTTATCTTTTCAGCATGGAAATGGCCCAAAGGACACCCACAATCAGCAAAAGCATGTCTTTACTAAAAGAAGGTTAAAATGCATAAAGTGCTCAGCTAGAGTATCTGACAGGTATTAAGGTTTGTTAGGAGGGAAGGAGCCTGTGTCCAGGTGAGACCCTCAAACCCTATCATACTTTATTACTATTTCCTGCCTGGATCAAATCAGTTTGGTGTTCCAGCTGAGTTGTACTCAACATAGGTTAAATTAAGGTGGAACATGCGCCAAAATTTTGAAATGATTTATCTTGCTCTCATTTTCCCACCGTCCGTTTCAGTCGGGCTGTGCTAGGCGCCGTTTTGACGCTGCAGGTTTCCTAGATTGACTGGGTCCAACAAGAGGTTTCTTGTCTTCATTTTGAAAGGGGCCCCAGCATAAAAAGAGCGAGCGGCCATCAAAAATGATCTAAGGCATGCTGTGAAGTAGATGAAAAAATATTTGTAAAGAGTTTCATTTTAGATGGAAGATCAGATTAATACTGACCAACAAATTGAGACCGAACCTTTTGTCCTTCTCAGGGTCGTACAGCAGCCTTCCGTCGGAAATGTTCAAAATATGAAACAACTAAATAAAAATAATTAAATGTAAAATTCAAATTAGTGATGAATGAATAAATAAGGTAGAAATTGAGGATGGGAGGACATAATAAAAACATTTACCTTTAGCCTTTTTTTGTGTCTTTTTATTGTTGTTATTGAAATTGAAACAGAGAAAGTTTATACCATCATTAAAAACAGGATATGTTTTATTTTTTATCTCAGCTCCACTTCTCCACCGACCACTTCCAGTCACTTTAGGTTTTCTTGGACAATCTCATCCTATTTACACATGAGGTGATGCAACAGTGCAACAATCCTCCTCACAGAATTAAATCTGTTTGACTTTGTCAGAGGAATACTTTTAAAAACAAATGAGTCTGTGGCACTGAGAGTTTGCAGCCCTTGCTTCCAGATTACTGTTTTTTTTTTTTTCTTCTTGCTCTTGTGTAAATGATTTTCCCATCTTCACTTCTTTTCCTCTTGGGCCCGTGGTATTTTTAGATTCATCCTGTGGCATTCGCAGCATACAGAGGAAACTGGACAGGATGCATGCAGTAATGGCTTCAGAAACTCATCTGGACTTGTACACACTGAAAAAGTCCACATGCAATTTCTTTTTTGGCAACATGGCCTCAGTTAAACCTCTGGTCCTAAAACCCTCACAAGAATGTCGACAGCAACATGTGTTTTCCCACAATACCAAACTCCAAGGAGACTTATCTCACTAAGGCTGTCAGTGTAACACCTGCTATTTTCCCAAACACACACACACACACACACACACGAACACGCATACATGCTCCCTCTCAGTGAGTTCACATCAGTGAAACAACAACGTCTTCTGCAAATGTGGCATCTTTGTATCTAGACAAAGGCATTTTGTCTGGTCTGCACCTCCTCTGTGAACTGCATGGAACAAAAGTAGAGGGGTATTAGACAGACTTGGAAATATTTGCTCATAAAGTGCATAACACACCTATTTTTTTTCTCTTAATGTATTACCAGGCGCCTTTGTGCTTCTTTTGACAAAAAACAGAGCACTGCATGGATGGCGTGGGGTATTACTGCCCGTCCCCGCCTTCTCATGAAGGAGGAGATGAAAAGTTTCTCTTGCAGGTTTTGGCCTTACGAGACATTCATTTAGGAGCTCTGGGGTGCAAGTTTATGATTCCCAACGGAAGTCCATACGGCTGGTGATGAACTCTGCTCAGAAAATAGCGAAAATATCGTCTACAGTGAAGGTCAAAACACAGCAACAACCAGAAGACATAAAGAAAGGAGTCATGGACCCAGACGTAGCAAATACAAAAGGAGCAGCAGTTCAGAGAGTTTCTAGGCCCATGAGAAACACAGCATCACTGAAACGGTCCAAGTCATGATCAGAACCATGTCAGTTCACCCAGTCACACTCTTGCTTTGTTCCAGTCTGTTGCCAGTTCATCCCATCCTGCTCCCATTTCATTCTGTTTCAGATTTATGCATATCTGTTTAGTTTCCTTTGCAGTCAAGTATCAGAGTGTTCCGATTTTATGAATTGTGGAGGCAAGTAGACAAGAAATTACGAAAACGTCACACATATGTTGACTGATTTGCGGTACATAATTTCCTGGAAACTTTGCATTGTCCTTTAGTTCCATTTATTGTGGCTCGGATCTCCTTTTGGGCCGGCTGACTCTCATAAAACAAGGAAGCTCACGATCAGAAGTAAACACTTGCAGGTGGTTATCATTTATTAACATTACATAACCACCTCTTCCTGTCATCAGACTATAAGAACATTACTTTCAATCACTGGTTGTCAAAGTGGATCTGTAACATTGCCCTGGTGGGTAAGAGCCGATGCATGTGGTGGTCCAGGCAGAAACGTCACGTCACAGGAGAATCCATTTTGAACCCCACAAAGAAAGGCGTGAAACAATCCAAACAAACTGGAAAAGGAACTAAATGACCGGCCCAGTCACTTAAATGTTGCTACTCATGACATGTGGCCATTCTTTTTGATACTGATCACCATTTTTTCGTAAAATGTTTAACTACCAGGAGAAATAAACTGATACTGAATGGGTTTGCGCATAGAAAATGTTTGGTTTATATCTACAAAATGAAAGTAATTTGGAAATAAATGCAACAGCTGGATGCCACACAGAGGTATGAATTAGGGAAAGGGGGAAGCTTAAAGTTATACAGCAGCTAAATAAGACCACAAAAAAATCTAATTAATATTTCATATATAATAGAAACAATTACTGTCGACACTAATGGAAAAGCTGATGATTACAGCCCAAAAGATGCATATGTACCTCTTACTTTACATGTCTTATTGCACAGAGAAACAGCAACAGTCATAGGAAAGTGTAAAAAGATATGTGAAATTGTTTCAATGGCATTTTTGTATGATGTTTCCATACGTTAATCAAACATCATCTGCTCAAATGGTTACTGTATAGTGAAAGTAAAAAAAAAATGAGGGGGAAAAGAAAATCCATCTTTTCCAACTTCCTGTCATATCTAGCTGTGCTACACTCAGCTATTCATCAGTGGGAAGAAATGGAGATAATAATAATAATTATAAACTACCCTTCGGTAGTTTATCTCTGCATCTATTCTTCGATGCTGATGTTAAGAACTTGAGTTAAGTTGCGTCCTTCAGCCACCACAATTGACATGGGGTAGAAAAAATTAGCAAAGTGTAATTTTTTTCTGGTCTCGGGGCTTCATGTAAAAGAATTCCTCAAATAATGCTTCCGTCCATTGTTTTACACATGTTGCATCAGAAACTCACAGGTAAAACTCCGTGGCGGTCGCAGATTACAAGCGACGTTACGCAAAACGGACAAAGACCGAGTCTGTCGCATCTGTGACTCACCAGCAACACGTCTGATTGAAACTTGTTTCAGAGCCGTGTGACAGCGGCAGGGCTGCGAACGTGAAAAGCAGAGCACAGCAGGCTCTGATACGAAACAAGGCGATTTCGAAAGGAGTTAATTAACTTGAGTGTGGATGTATGCTGTGAGGAGCGGGGTGATTCAGCTGAACACAAGATGGCAGGCAAATGTACAAACAAACCGTTATGAAAACTGGTTTGAGCACATTTTAATGTTAAAACAAGCTTGAGAGCTGAGACTAAACAGCTTTCAGTTTTCATGCAAGAGCGATAAACACTCACTCAACGTTTCATCCTCAGCCTCCGACTTGTGTTAATCAGCCTCTCTGCTTGTTTGCTGTTTCCGTCGCTGCTTTGCGTGTTATATATATATATATTTTTTTTGGGGGGGGGGGCAGTGTTACAATCTGAACACACAGCTCACCTCTTCTTTGATTAGTCACCATAACAACATCACCATGGCGATTGGCGAGCAATGACTTTGGCTCTATGTCTGTGATGTTGTGAGCTGATGTGGAAATTTGAAAAATCAGCAGTGTTTAGCTGACATGCACTGACAGACGAAGGAGGACAGCGGCTGTTGTGCGCCGGTGCTTGGACTTTGGTTTCCTGCCTGTGTTTGTGATTATAGTTGGAGCCTTGAGACAGTTGGACGCAGTGTTGCAAGCTACACCTGTCAATTTCTACTTGATCCTTAAGCGTATCTGTCTGAGTGAGACAGTGACCTCTAGGTTGAGGAGAAAAGCAGCACTCTGTGCTTGGCTAGCGTGCAGGTGTTCTGTGCAGTTTTGGTAATCACTACAGATTGTAGTAATTCACAGCCGCAGCTGCCTGGCCTCTCAGCAATTACAGGGAAATTTAACATTTTCAACTGATTAGTTTGTTTGCCACATCTCTGGGCTAAACTTGCCCAACGTCTGGTTTGAACACAAGGACGGCCAGACTAGTCT